TTGTCTCAACTGGCTCTTCATGGGGCTGTACTGCCCTTTCTTCTTGCTGTAACAGTCTAGCAAGTTCTCCGGGTACCTCACAATCTTCCTCACCTTCCTCCTCGGCTTGGTTGATCGGATTTTCAAAGTCATAATTGGAAATAGAAGAACAGTTATCAATGGGATCCAGAGTGGATATGGATCTGTAGTTGATACGTGAGTGTGTGTAAGAGCATAGCTGTATAGACAAAGTAAAATTAGAAAAGAAAAACAGAGAGTGCAAAATTTGTATGCATAAACGCCCAATACTTTATTAATTCCATATGAAATTGAAACATGATAACCCTCACAAATAAACCATTGTGCCTCGGGTAAGACACATGGCCATAAAGTTTATATTGTTTATTACATATCCAAAACAAGAAATACAATTACTTCTAAATAAAAGTAATTGGTACAAAGTCTTTTGTCGTCCACTTACTGGGTCCACAGTTGGTAGTAGGGAAGATCTAGCTATCCATGTCGTCGTCACCATCATTGTCTTATAGAGCGTTGACCCCATGATTGCTGATGCGTAGGGGAGGTCTTCCAACACGAGCACGTCAAACAGCCCTTTGAGCCCTTGAAGAGAAACCCAAACCAAACTTATCAGATTTGTATGGAATATCAGGGAGCTGACCCCAGATGGTAGACCCACCTTATTCAATAACTACTTTTATATCCTTGAGAGAAGCCATCTTCAAGGGAGGTCTGGTGATATTTGGCAGATTGGTGACAGTTTCAGTTGCATATATAGTCTGAGGTACCTCTTCGAAATTCTGACACGGAGTATGGATGAACTCGCCATCCATTTCCATGTATCTGAAGGAATTCAGGTGACTGACCATGTATTCTTCTTCACCGCGTACTGTAACAATCCTTCCTTTCACCGGGTACTTTATCATCTGATGCAGAGTGGACGTGACAACTCTCTCCCCATGGATCCAAGGGCGACCTAATAAACAAGAATAAGATGGTCTGATATCCATCACGTAGAAGGTGGAGTAAAAGGTATGAGAACCAACTTTTATAAGGATGTCCACCTCCCTGTGCACCATTCTCTTTGATCTATCGAAAGCCCTCACTACAATGTTACTGGGCTTCAAGGTCAACCCTTCACAGTCTAGTCTATCTAGAGCCTTCTTGGACAACATGTTCAATGATGAACCAATATCTACCAGGACATGGGCCAAAGTAGTGCCCCTGCATTCGACGAAAAGATGTAGAGAGGGTGTCAGATTAGCATCAGAAAAACCCAAATCATTATCAGCTGTCAAACTGGCCACACAATCATCAAATTGGTCAGTGGAGGTTTCTTGTGGCACATGGTAAGTTTTAAGGAACTTCACCAAAGCCTTCGCATGAGCTTCAGAGCACAACAATAAGGTTAGCATAGAAATCATGGAAGGGGTTTCCCTAGCTATTCAACCATATTGTAGTCGCTCTTCTTTATAATCTTCAAAATTTCTTCCATTTCCTTCTTGGAAGCCTCTGGGATAGATACTGACTGCACCTTCATCTGGACAGGCTCAATCAATATGTCTTTGCCCCGAGTCTCGGCCGACTCGATAATAGGGGTGTCAACAAGGGTAATTATAGGAATTGCAGTAGCAGTATCAATAGGAACAAAAGTAGGAATGATCACAGGACTAGTAACAGCTTTTGGAGGAGAAATTTCAGGGGAGAATACTCTTCCACTTCTTGTTATTTTGTTGGTTCCAACAATGTTGCCAATGTCGGGATCAACATTTTCGGAAACCTGGTCTTCAACATTCAGTAGGTCTTTCTTGACACCATGGTAATAGACGTCACCCCATAGTTCCAGGGAATAGTTTTGTTCGAGGAGTATGGGATTGGCCCTGGCATAGTGATAATTAGTGGAGCCAACTTCGGAGCAGATGTAATCATGACGGGTCTTTTGGTGGAGACCCTAGGAGGATTGGCGGAAATGGTTATGATTGAAACATCCTTGCAAGAAACAGTCAGAACGAGAGTCTTCTCAAACAAAATCTCTCTATCATCCATCAGGCGCTGAACACCCGCCTTCAACAAATGACAACCATTCGGTAGAGATAAACATGAGTGGCAACCTTCGCCATATCCCAGAAATAAACTGGATTTCAATAAGTTCAACTTGACGTTCAGGAGAGGAGTAACAAGTTCCTCAACAGAAGTAACGAACATATAATCTTCAATGGCATTGATACCATAGTCGTGCTTAGGCATAAGAGCATTGATAACATTGGGAATTTAAAGGGCGTCAAATTCAATTTCCTTCGCCTCGAGAAGGTCTTGCACCTTGTTTTTCAAAGCCCAGCAGTCGTTGGTATCATGGCCCGGAATTTCTGAATGGTAAGCATAGCGAGCATTGGGATTGTAGCGAGGAGAGGCGGTGTTGGGATTCTTCGGAGCTTCCCGCAAAGTTACTAGATTAGATTTCAGCAAATGTGGAAAGACTTGAAACATCGTCATATTTATCTGGGTAAACTGTCTTACCGACCTTTCTGTTCTAGGCTGATTATTTCTTTGTTGAATAGGTGCAGGTTTAGAGATCATAACAGCCCCTATCGTTGGACGGTGTTCAGTTCTGTCCTGATTCCTTTGGCTATAGGTGGCACTGACTTCCTTCATCCCATAAAATGGCTTCCTTACTGCACTGGAGGATGCATCCTTTTGAATCATCCCACTCCTAATTCTGGCTTCCACTCTTTCTCCTGTCAAGATCAATTCAGTAAATCTGGCTGAGGAGCTTCCAATCAGGTGATTGAAAAATGGACCAGATAAGGTACCCAAAAACATATCCACTAGCTCCCTATCAAACATAGGGGTTAGAATCTTCCTGCTAAGTCCCTCCACTTCTGAGCATAGTCTTTAAATCCCTCGCTCGAACCCATAGACATACTTTGGAGTTGAGTACGGGTGGGAGCAAGGTCTGCATTGTACAGGTACTGCTTGTGGAAAGCAGTAGCCAGGTCTTCCCAATTACGAATGTTGGTCCTTTCCAGCTGGTAGAACCATTCTAATTGAGTTTCGGGTAGACTATCTTGAAAGAAATGAACCCACAAGTCCTTGTCAGCACTGTGAGGCTGGATCTTCCTCACATAATATCGGAGGTGCATTTTGGGACATGAAACCCCATCATATTTGGAGAACACCGGCACCTTGAACTTCTGTGGGATGACCACCCCAGACACCAAACCCAGCTTTCCAAAATCCATCCCAAGCACCTTCTGGATTTCCATTGCACTCAGACGCTCTTCCAGTTGTTTGTACTTTTCGTCGGCCAGAGGGTACTGCTCTTCATTGTAGTCAGTCTCATTATCAGACTCCCTTGGACTGGGGTCTTCCTCTCTTGTCTCCCCTTATTGATTTTCTCCTTCTCTTGATAAAGATGACAGCTCAACCACTTGCCTTAGCGGTCCTTTGAATCTCCTTCCCAGGTTTACCATACCAGTTGTCTTCCTAGGATTCTTAGTCTTTTCTTTAACAATCAAGGCTTTCAGTTCCTCTTGCCCTTTGGACAGAGCCATGATCATCTGTTGAAACTGTGCATTCTGAGTTTATAGAACCTTCACTGTTTGTTCTAGAGCCATTGATGAAATAAACAGCGCAGAAGATGAGAAACCTGTTTTGAAACCCGCTTATGCAATGATATGTATGATATATGTATGCAATGATTTCAAGGATTTCTAAGACTCAAATTTTCTTTAATAGAAAGATAGAAAACGTTAATTGTATTAAGATGTTTTATTGATCACAATAATGCCTCTTGGGCTCACAAGGGAACAAAGCAAAAATAAAACTCTCCAAGAAAAATAAGACTCAAGCTTCCCACAGGCGCATGCTCTTTGGTGCAATGTAGGCATTTATAATCCTCTCCTCGTGAAGTAACCGAGTGAGCTCTAGAACCTTCTTCTCGCTGGTGTAGAATTGGGTTTCGAAAGTATCATGTTCTTCTTTGAGTTGGATCCACGACTTCCGTAGCTCCTCAAGATCAGTTGGCATGTCAGGATGAAGAATAATATAAGGAGTGTCTCCCTCAGCAATTGGCTCCATAATCACAGGTAAGATGGCGGGGTAAGGCATCATAAGACATTGAGCACATGCTCGCACCCATTTGAGGTAAGTCTCAAGAGGGATGGAATTCTTGTGCCCCAATGTCTTGCTATCAAATCTGTTTATCATGCCTCAAGCTCGAATGAACCTCTTACGATAACCCTGAACATCATTCTCATAGTCAAATGTGATTCCTTGGACGAGTGTGTCATGAGGACCATCCCTTCTATCATAACCAAACTGCCGCAATGCCAAACAAGGATTATAAGTGATTCCTCCCCTAATGCCTAAGAGAGGGACATTATGGAATTCCCCACAGCGGTCAATAATGGTAACATTCTCCGAGGATCGCGAACACCAATGAATATCCGAATGTGTAAGAGACATCACTACAAGAAAATTAGTGTTTAACGACACAAAAATTGCGACAGTTATGTGATAACTGTCGTAATTGACATATAGAGACAGTGTTTACGACAGTTGACACCAACCGTCCCTAATATTTATTTTGCGACGGTATATTTAACCATCATAATATTATTATTACGACGGTAAAACAACCGTCGGCCCCCATTTAACACTTTTAACATTGATTTTTCACCAACAACTAGTCACGACGGTAAAATTAACCGTCCTAAAAGGCATATCACGACGGTAAAGCACCCGTCGCACTCTTAAACCTTTCACGACGGTAAAATTATCCGTCCTAAAATTCATTTCACGACGGTAAAACAACCGTCGCACCCAAAACCTTTAAAAAAATTTAAAATTAAAATATAATTTATTCTGATACAAAATTGTGATTGATCGATAGTATAAAATTAATTTACACAATCAGGGCAACACTATTTTTTCTGATTTTATAAAACCTCCAGCCCTCTCCATGGTTCACACAAATCCTCAACCTCCTCGACAATTCCCCAACCATGGAATCAAATCTCGACTCCTTCTGCCGCCAATTTCTCATCACTCTCTCCCCCTCCTTCGTCGCCCACGCTCTCCGTTCCCTCAACAACCACCACACCGCCCTCCGTTTCTTCACCTGGGCTTCCCACCAACGTAACTACTCACATTCCCTCGATTGCTACGCTTCACTAATCAACCTACTCCTATCCCCCTCAACCACCACCACCTCCGCCGCATTAAATGTTTTTGCAGAACTTCAACGTAGCCGCCTCCCCTTAACATCCCCATCCGCCAACTCCCTCATCAAAAGCTTCGGTAACGCCGGCCTGGTCAATGAACTTCTATTAGTTTTGCGTGGAATGAACGAACAAAACATCCACCCGACTCTTTTCACTTACAACTCCCTTCTTAACGGACTCGTTGGTTCCTCTTTTATCGAATCGGCCGAGCGTGTTTTTGTCGCCATGAAAGAAGGAAGAATAAAGCCTGATGTTGTAACCTACAATACTTTGATCAAAGGGTATTGTAAGATTGGGAAAACACGAAAGGCGACCGAGATGGTTCGCGAAATGGAGGTAATTAATTTGGAGCCTGATGTTGTTACTTATATGACAATAATGCAGGCTTGTTATTCTGAAGGGGATGTTGATTGTTGTTTGAGTCTTTACCATGAGATGGAGGATAAGGGATTTCAAGTTCCTTCTCATTGTTATACTTTTCTCATATGCGGGCTTTGTAAGACGGGGAAGGTTTTAGAAGCTTATGCTTTGTTTGAGAATATGCTTAGAAATGGTTGTAAGGGTAATAAGGCTGTTTACACTGCTTTGATTGATTGTTATGGGAAGAGTGGGAATTCTGATGGGGCTTTAAGGTTGTTTGAGAGGATGAAAATGGATGGGATTGAGCCTGATGAGGTTACTTATGGTGCTATTGTTAATGGGTTATGTAAGAGTGGGAGACTAGAGGAAGCTTTGGGTTATTTTCGGTTTTGTAATGAGAATGTTGTTGTTGTCAATGCTGTTTTTTATTCTAGTTTGATTGATGGACTTGGAAAGGAGGGAAGGGTGGATGAAGCTGAGAAGGTGTTTGATGAAATGGCTGAGAAGGGGTGTCTGCCGGATTCATATTGCTACAATGCGCTCATCGATGGACTTTGTAAGTGTGGGAGGATAGCCGATGCTTTAGTGCTGTTTAAGAGGATGGAGTGTGATGGTTGTGAGCATACTGTGTATACGTTTACTATACTTATCAGTGAGCTTTTCAGGGTGCATAGGAATGAAGAAGCCGTCAAGATGTGGGATTTGATGATTGACAAAGGGATAACGCCGAACGTTGCTTGTTTTAGGGCTCTTTCAATTGGAATGTGTCTTTCAGGAGTATTGCTAAATATCAAAATGATAAGGAGGTATTATGATACCTTCAATTTGTCTTTCTTGGAAGCATTTTTAGCCTCTTGTACATTGAATTTTACATTTCCGTCTTTCTCTTTACGTTTCAGGTCATGGATGTCTTCTATAAAAAATCTGAACTCTTCCCTGGAGTTTCAGGCCCCCCTTGATTTCAATTTGTTTGTTGGTCAAGATAAAATATTTGCCAAGTTATTCACGCCTTTCCGGATGACTGATGAGGATTTGTATTAGCTAGCTGTGTCTCACCATAAGGAGTTTGTGCTCATGATGGAAACATACTGCTTTGAATTATAACAAATTGTGAAGTGTGTCCATATAAATTTGCTGGAATTAAAATTTTCCTGATAAATATTTATTTATTGCAGCTTTTGTAGATGTGTCTCCAGAAGAAACTGTGCAGAAGAATGCTTTTGAAAGATTTAAAGATGTTGATGAATCAAGTTCATTCAAGGAAGCCCGTGCTCTAGCTGAAGTGAGTTTACAATTCTAGTTTTTTCTAAATATGTTTAGTGATTTGTCTTACCCTTAACATGTAATAACAATGGATATTATTGAAGGCTTCTCAAAATGGAATTCAAAAATTGATGAATTTCTTACTTTATTTCTTGCTTCACTTAGACTGCAATGCCTGCCAGACTCTATCCGATGGCGTATTCAAGCTGTATGAAGAAAGTTTTAGACAGTAACAAAAATGCTGCTGTGTTGGATAACAGAATGTTTTTGGTTTTTAGCCCAGCTGTAGAGAAGCTTGAAATTGTGGAATGTGATTTGGAGAAGCCAAATCAAATTGGATCAGCATTAGGGAATGCATCCACTGTGATATGTACCATTGGTGCTAGTGAGAAGGAAATTTTCGACATTACTGGACCTTGTCGAATCGATTACAAAGCCACCAAAAACCTAGTTGATGCTGGTAACAAGAGCTTTCCTTCCTTATGGTTTTGTTTCAATGCTATATATTTTGTTTTAGGCCTAAAGGTTGAAAACAATTTTTTGTTTGTTTATTCTGTCATGGTGCAGCAACTGTTGCCAAAGTAAATCACTTCATATTGGTTACTTCATTGGGAACAAACAAATTTGGTTTTCCTGCAGCTATTCTCAAGTGAGTCTGAATTCTGAAAACCTTTCTCAAGCAGTAGTTTAGTTATATTTTCATTTTCGCATCGTAAAGAAGTTGAACTGATTGATTAGTTCTATTTCTATAGTTTATTTTGGGGAGTTTTGATTTGGAAAAGGAAGGCTGAAGAAGCATTGCTAGCAAGTGGAATTCCGTATACAGTAAGTCATTGTAATTACTCCGAAGCGCAACGCATCGCAAATTCCTAATTATCTTAATATCATGTCATTGTTATGTTATGTCACTGTTTTCAGATAGTGAGACCCGGTGGCATGGAGAGGCCTACTGATGCATACAAGGAAAAACATAATGTAACTCTATCAACTGAAGATACTTTATTTGGGGGTCAAGTTTCAAACCTTCAGGTACGTGTAAAATGCATTATTCATGTATCATGTATGTGTAACTATCTAGTTAAGATATATAGTTATATGAAAGTTGATAACTCTCTCAATGCAGGTTGCTGAACTCATGGCAACCATGGCCAAGAATCCCGATCTTTCTTATTGTAAAATAGTAGAGGTCATTGCCGAGACAACTGCGCCATTGACACCTGCCGAAAAACTTCTTACCACAATACCTTCTCAACGCCCTTACGTTTCTCCGCCTAAGGTAAGTACCGCCTTATATAATACATTTTACGATGTATATTAGTACAAACCAGGCTTGTCAATTGATTAGTTGTTTTATTTGGACGATATAGAAACCAGATACGGCAACTGTCAGTAATCCAGGCCCCCCTGATAATGTTGTAGCAGAAGTACTCAGTATTGCCCCTGAAATAGAAACAGAACAACCAAAACCAGTGGCGAAAACGGAACAGCCACTTTCTCCTTATACCGCGTAAGCCAAGTTGCTAATTTTTGTTGACAGTAAATATTTTAATGCGGACCAGATGCAAAATAACTGATTTGGTATATACATTTTCAGTTATGATGATTTAAAGCCACCATCATCTCCTTCTCCAACTAAGCCTAGTGAGAAGAAACAGATAAACATCAGTGATGCAGTTCCAACACCTATTTCTTCGGATACTCCAGGTAGCATTCAAGAAATAGATGGCATTTCTCAGACAACATCTTCCTCAAAAGTGAAGGAGTCTCTATCTCCTTACGCAGCGTAAGCCGCCCTCTAGTTTTATGGTGATATCATGTATATTAGTACAACCATCCCATTTTAGATTTGAACTTTTTCTTGTGTTTATTATAGATATCCTGATTTAAAGCCTCCGAGTTCACCATCTCCGAGTGTACCAACTACATCAATATCCAAGATAGATACAGTAGTATCAAGCAATGGAGCAGCTCAACTTTCTGTGGAAGATACACCAAAGGATGATGGACAGCCCCTTCATGAACCAAAGTCAAGACCACTTTCACCTTATGCAATGTAAGTTGATTCTGATTCCATCTCGCCTTCGATTTTTCTTATTTATTCTCCAAAAGATTCTCGATTCCTTAATATAGAAGAAAGAAAGAAGGGACTCGGATTTTTCATTGAGATCTACCTGCAGTCACTATTTGATCGTAGTGACTATAGTAAGATTATGATATTATGCAAATGAACTTTTCAGGTATGAGGACTTGAAGCCTCCTGCATCACCATCACCTTCATTCAGAAAATCCTAGGAACTGCCTCCACATATGGAATCAGACAAGGTTAGAAATACAAAATATTATATGTAAAGTATACACTTGATTTTATATACACTATAGTGGACTCTTGATTGCGATATAACTGTTGGATCAAATAGGATTGTTTTATTGAAGAGTTTATGCAGCATCACATATGGAGGATTTTCACTCAAAGTATGAAGATTGGAAGCATTTAGTTGAATGGATACTTTCATGCCAATTATTTCTTGATAACCTTTTGAGGATAGTCACTCAAAAAGCACTGTTGTTTTTATATATATAGTTTACTTTTCTCATGTTGCAATTTAAATAAGGAAAAGGTATTACTTTTCAAGATCATTTTTCCATTTTATATTATTTTCCTTGTCATGTGGAATAAGTTGACACAATAAATAGATTAACACCTTAACTAACTTCTGTTTTCAGTTAGGAGTAATTACAAAGTAGTTACATTAAGATAGTTACTTAGAACTTAAGCAACAATATACTGTAGCTAGAACACTATAGCTCATGATGGAAGTTACCACACAAGTATAAATAGCACAGTGTATTTGATATTCATCAATGAGAATCAATTGCTCTATCATGTTCATCAATGAGAATCAATGTAATGCATCATTTTTTAACTTCAATTATGTGCTTATAATCCAAATAAAACTCTGCAGTTGAATGAAGGGGATGGTGCATTCTATGGACCAAAGATAGATATCAGTGTATCTGATGCATTGAGTAGGAAATTCCAGTGTGCAACTCTACAGGTTTACACTCTTTGGCTTGACTTGCATTCACATGGTTCAGTTGTTAATTATTTTTACTGATAATTGGATAAATTGGCTCCTTGCAGCTTGACTTCCAGCTTCCTGATCGTTTTAAGTTGGAATTCTCAGCTGAGGATGAAGCCAAAATTGAGAGGCCTGTTATGATACACAGAGCCATTCTAGGATCAGTTGAACGCATGTTTGCCATACTTTTAGAGCACTACAAGGGTAAATGGCCCTTCTGGCTCAGTCCTCGTCAAGCAATTTTGTGCCCTGTTTCTGAGAAATCACAAGCTTATGCTCTGAAGGTACACATCTCTGTTTCCTAACTTTAGTCTGTCTATATTTATCGAAGTCATATGATAACAGTTAGGATGGGGTGATGATGTGTACAATTGCATCAAATCCTTGAACCAATTTGTTTATTTTGAGTCGCAACAAGCCTTTTTAGATATACTTTTTATGTGGTAGCTTCTTCATGAAGTTTGAGCAATCTTCCTTGAATAATTCTATTACCTAACTTTGTTATTGTTCTAATTCTATTTTATGAGTATTATTTTAAAGATAATTATTTTAATACATTTTTTTAGGGATTGGAATCACCCGCTGATGGTAGACGTTCATCTGAGTCTAACTACCGTATTGGAGATAATGGAACTTCAAGGGGGACAAATTAAACTTTGCTATGATCGAGATAATTAGATTGTGAACTTTCTCATGTATTTTTGGCATAATGATACTTATTATTATAAAATTAGAAATTGATATATTTTGGGTTTTTTGTACTACTTGACATGATTATGGAACTCGCATTTTACATGATTATGGAACACACATTTTTTTGGATATTATAATGCTTATTTGATGTTAAATATTTTTTATTGAAATTATTTTTACTATATTACAAAGTGATAGAAAATAAAACAAAAAATAATACTATAAATAATTATATTAAAGAAGAAATAATTTAAAGAAAAAAATAACACAAAAAAAAACTATATTTAAAATTTTTTACATAGATAATAATTTAAATAAAAAATATATATAATAGAAAAATAAAAAAAAATCAAGACATAAACAAAAGTCATGGCGACAGTACCGAACCGTCGTAATCAACAAAAGTCATGACGGTATCGAACCGTCGCCATAAACAATTTAATCAATTTCAAAAGATATTCACGACAGTATCGAACCGTCGCCATCAATAATTAAAAGAAACTCAAAAGATAGTCACGACGGTATCAACCCGTCGTAAACTTGAACGACAGTTTTTGTAACCGTCGCGAAATAGGTTGGGGACACACACTTCTGCGACGGTAAAGCAACCGTCGTGGAAAGCAAATTGCGACGGTTTTAACCGTCGTGATCTACAAAAATACCTGTCGCAATCTGCCAATTTTCTTGTAGTGCATCAACCTATGAAACCATCTCCTACCCTGCTCATTTCTCAAGACAGACCGAGGTAGGTGAGAAATAAAATACCTAGACAATAGAGGAGTGCAACACAGAAGGGTCCCTCTTCCCTTTAGAGTGCGAGTATGCAGAGAGTGTAGAATATCCCCAAGCAAAGTAGGCACCAGATTATGTGACAAAAAAACCTTAACCGCATTGACATCTATGATTTGGTCCGTGTTAGGGAATAGTACCATCCCATAGATGAGAAGGACCAACACTTCTTCAAAATCCTGTAAATCCAGGGTATCCCAAAAATGGTGAGCTTTCTCAAATAGAAACTTAGCTAGAAATCCTTGGACACTTCTTCTGGTTTCCCAATTTTCCACTATATCAGACCGTTGTAAAGACAAAGCTTAAGGAATCTCTTCAGGATTTGGGTCTCTTTCCGTACTGTTGAATGGTAGTTGATTAAGGATAGGTACCCCCAATAACTGAGAAAACTCCTCCATAGTAGGCACTAACTAGTAATCAGGGAACGTGAAGCGGTGATGTAACGTGTCAAGGATATGAAAGAGAACCTTTAACATTTATTCATTAGGGTTTAAAGTGGCCAAGTTGAGAAGTCGACCATGTTTTTCAGTGAAGGGAGAGCTTTCAGGAATCCTTGATGCTAAGTCCTTGAGTTGAGGATGTACTTTCACAAGGTTGATTTGGATAGTGTTCCTGCGAGCGGATGTCATGTCCTACAAAACAAGACAAAGATACGCCCTAGAAAATCCTTGAAATGGTTAGTATGATATGCCATGTTATGATGTCATGATTATGCTAAGAAATCACAGATATAGCAAGCACATGAAAATCACACCAAGACCTTAGGTTTAAGGCTTGCATGAGTTTTAAGGTAATACCCTCTTGATGTTTGGATTGGTTCAACCTGTCCTATAAATAGTAACCGGGTTCTAAGGGATCTCAATATCACCAATCTTTCCCACAAGTTTCGTTCTGATAGGAAACTGACTTGCAACCAAACAAAACTCGGGAGTCAAATCTCAATGAGTGTAGCATCGAATATCTACCTACTTTTGGAATACACCAAAGACGGCCATCTCACTACGTCCTAATGGCCAAGTTGTTCATTTAAAGGTTCTACAATCAGTTGACGCTTCATGACACCATGCAGAGGCCTCATATTCTCCTTGATTAACTCAAGGGCTATCGGTACCAACCAAAGTGTCGCATCAACGTAGCCATCGCTTCAACCGTGTCGGTATACCACAGACAATTTCAACGATCTATTGCTACTTACCTAAAAGGTTTTCCCCAGATCCGGGCGTAGGATCTATAGTAACCCAAACAATACCCTTAAAAATAAAGCAATCAAACAGACAAAGAAGCAAGTTTAAAATGATATAGACCCTAAGGTAAACCCCACTTTTTATTATTATCCCCAGCAGAGTCGCCAGTTCTTTGATACGGTGGTAGAACCGACTGTTATACAGGTTTGCATTTTTCTTTGTTTGCAAATGTCGCGGTAAGCAAGAGTTGCCACCAACTTTTCTTTTATCCAACAATGGAAAGGGTGAAAAGAACAGAAAAAGATCTTTTTCGAGATTTTCTGAGTAAGGGGGTAGATTATGGAAAGGGAAGGTGTTAGCACCCTTTTCATCCGTGGTTTTCCACAGGCTCTTAGGTACTTGCTAATTTTGAAAATTGTTTTCGTGTTTGTGTGTTTTGAAAGATTTTTGTTTGCTTTATGGTAACTCTTGTATCAGTCCTTAAGTGTGTGATAAAGCGTTTTTGAAAATAGTTTTTGAAAAGTGTGTAAGTGTGAAAAATTAGGTTTGAGAAAGTACTTAAAAATTAGGTTTGTCTAGTCAATTCTTAGTCAACCTTGAGCAATTGAGGACCTCTAGGAGTATGTCTTGTGTGAAAATGGGATGGAAAATTTTGGGGTACAACAGACGGTTTCTTTGGTTACAATCAAATCAAGATGGCACCCGAAGACATGGAGAAGACAACCTTCGTCATGCAATGGGGCACTTTCTGTTACAAAGTGATGCCGTTTGGGTTGAAGAATGTTGCGGCAACCTATCAGTGAGCCATGGTAGCTTTGTTTCATGACATGATTCACCATGAGATATATGTCTATGTTGATGACATGATAGCCAGGTCTCAAACTGAGGAAGAGCACCTTGATCATCTAAAAAAGCTGTTTGATAGGTTGAAGACGTACAAGTTGAGGTTAAATCCAAACAAGTACATCTTCGGGGTAAGGTCTGGTAAACTTCTACGCTTCATTATCAGTGACAAGGGTATTCAGGTAGACCCTGCAAAGGTGAAGTCTATACAAGATATGTCAGCTCCTCGCACGGAGAAGGAAGTTAGAGGCTTCTTGGGACACCTAAATTACATTTCCAGGTTCATTTCCCATCTAACTGCTACTTGTGAGCCAATCTTCAAACTCTTGAAGAAAGATTAAGTGGTAAAATGGAATGACGAATGCCAGACTGCCTTTGAGAGAATCAAAGAATACCTTCAAGAGCCTCCAATTCTGATGTCTCCGATTGAAGGAAGGCATTTGATAATGCACTTAACATTGTTAGATAATTCAATGGGGTGTGTGCTGGGACAGCATGACGAGTCCGGTCGAAAAGAGCATGCAATATACTACCTTAGAAAAAAGTTTACCGACTGAAATAAGATACTCACTGCTCGAGAAAACTTGTTGCACTTTGGCATGGGCTTCTCGCCGACTAAGACAATATATGTTGACTGACACTACTTTGTTGATATCTAAGATGGATCCGATCAAGTACATCTTTGAGAAGCCCGCTCTCTCCG